AAAGACTAGATTTAAAGCCCAGTTCAAACTCTCCTCACTTTAGGTCCGCCCATCTGTCAATCAAACATGCCAGTGTGAACAAAACACACCCACAAACGGATCAGCCCTGCCCCATTGTTTGCTTGTAGAACCACACTGTTAAACCTCTCGCTCTCTCTCTCTCTCTCTCTCTCTCTCTCTCTCTCTCTCTCTCTCTCTCTCTCTCTCTCTCTCTCTCTCTCTCTCTCTCTCTTACACACACACACACACACACGCACGCATACACATACACACACACACACAGCATAATCCCTGTGGCCTGGTCACATCTGCTGCTGTTTTCCGGATTCTTCTCTGGATAATAACCCGCAGTTTTGCCTGCAATAATCAGTAAAACGCACCTGACCCCTGCTGCTTGGTCAGGTCACATGACTCCTGTTGACCAATCAAATTACTGCTGTGCAGTTGGACTTTGTAACCCCTTTTGCCCTTTATCACATCATGTGCCATTGGGGGTGGATGATTTGGTGGCAAAATATAATAACGATTTAGATCTATATATAGACTACCTGACAAAAGCCTTGTCGTGGTTCCCAGTTGTAAGAGCAACACATAATAACTTGACTTCTAGTTGGTCATTTGTAAAAGTGGCAAACGGTGGATTTTTGTGATGAATCATCTGTTGATCTGCATCTCAATCATCACCAATACTGCAGAAGACTCCATGGAACCTGCACTTGGATAGGCGACAAGACTTTTGTGGACAGGTAGTGTATATATTTAGACAACTAAACAGACTAAATAGACAGACGGACAGATAGATGGAACGATAGATGGATGGATAGATAGATGGAACGATAGATGGATGAATGGATAGAGCAAATGATAGATAGATAGATAGATAGATAGATAGATAGATAGATAGATAGACAGACAGACAGACAGACAGACAGACAGACAGACAGACAGACAGACAGACAGACAGACAGACAGACAGACAGACAGACAGACAGACAGACGGACGGACGGGTGGATGGATGGACGGATGCATGGATGGATAGACAGACGGATGGATGGATGGATGGATGGATGGATGGATGGATGGAGCAATAGATGGATGGATGGATGGATGGATGGATAGAGCAAATGATAGATAGATGGAATGATAGATGGAACGTTGGATGGACGGATAGAATGATAGATAAGTTATGGATTGATAGATGGGATGGATGGATGTAACAATGGATGGATGGATGGATAGATAGATAGATAGATAGATAGATAGATAGATAGATAGATAGATAGATAGATAGATAGATAGATAGATAGATAGATAGATAGACGGATGGATGGATAGACGGATGGATGGATAGACGGATGGATGGATAGACGGATGGATGGATAGACGGATGGATGGGTGGATGGAACAATAGATGGATGGATGGATAGATGGATGGATGGATGGATAGAGCAAATGATAGACAGATGGATTGATGGATGGAACGTTGGATGGACGGATAGAATGATAGATGAATGATGGATTGATAGATGGGATGGATGGATGTAACAATAGATGGATGGATAGATAGATAGATAGATAGATAGATAGATAGATAGATAGATAGATAGATAGATAGATAGATAGATAGATAGATAGATAGATAGATAGATAGACGGATGGATGGTTGGATAGACGGATGGGTGGATGGATGGATGGATGGATGGAACAATGGATGGATGGATGGATGGATGGATAGAGCAAATGATAGACAGATGGATTGATGGATGGAACGTTGGATGGACGGATTGAATAATGGATTGATAGATGAGATGGATGGATGTAACAATGGATGGATGGATGGATGGATGGACGGACAGACAGACAGACACAGATGGATAGATAGATAGATAGATAGATAGATAGATAGATAGATAGATAGATAGATAGATAGATAGATAGATAGATAGATAGACGGATGGACGGATGGATGGATGGATGGATGGATGGATGGATGGATGGATGGATGGATGGATGGATAGAACGATGGATGAATGGATAGAGCAAATGATAGATAGACAGACGGATGGATGGATGGATGGAACGATGGAACGATGGATGGAACATTGGTTGGATGGATAGAACGATAGATGGATGGATGGATGGATGGATGGATGGATTGATAGATTAAACTATAAACTTAATAATAGTCCACAGTTGGTTAATTTTGTAAATGATGTAAATACATAAATGAAGTAACCTTCTCGCACTGTTCTCCCCAGTGTGTGCACTTCAGCACAAGCAGAGGTGAAAACGATGCTCATGTTTATTTTAGTTTTACATTGAGTGCATTATACTCTTTCTATCAACTCACACAAACATCCTTTTGGGAAGCCTGGATTTAGCCCATGACTCATAACGTTTCTCATTCCTCCGTCCTGAACCACTCTGCTTTTAAATCAAGATAAGACTCGCAGATTTTTGTATTTTTTATTTTATTTATTTATTTTTATTTATTATTATTTTGAAATGTTTTATCGTGTTGGTGTCTGATTAGTCTAGATCAGGGATGCTCAAACTTTTTCTTATAAAGGGCCAAAAAATAAACTTGATTGAGGCCAGTGGGCCAAAGGTAAATATAGTGGCCATGCATAATTTCCTCATTTTTATTTTAAAATGTATTTAAAAATAACCAGAAAACATAATTATATATATATATATATATATATATATATATATATATTTTTTTTTTACATTTTATAATGAGCTAATTACAGTAAAACAATCTTATTTAGAACAGAATGGAATTACACTCGTTTTTGCCCACTGATGTCTTTCTCATAGTCCTCTATCAATCAAGTGACAGTATTTGCATTTTAAAATTTTGCCATTTTAAAATTTCTCATTTACGTTTATTGACTACATTTGTTTCAGTTTGCTTTTTTTGCGTCTCAGCAACAAAACAAACAAACATAAAGATTGCGTCAAATTCTCCTTCTCTTCTCAGGTGGCATGGTGGGCCAAATCAAAGGGTACAATGGGCCAATTTTGGCCTACGGGCCCTACTTTGTGCATCTAGCATGACAGTCTAGTTTACAGAAACAAGATCCTCTAGTTTTATTTTCTTTCAGCTTAGTCCCTTATTTATCAGGGGTCGCCACAGCGAAATAAACCGTCAACTATTCTGACGCATGTGTTTGGACTGTGGGGGAACCAACTCCAACACGGGGAAAACATACAAACTCCACACAGAAATGCTAACTGACCCATCCAAGACTCAAACCAGTGACCTTCTTACTGTGAGGTTACACTGCTAACCACTGAGCCAATGATTAGCTGCTCTATTACACTGAAGTAGTTTTGGTTATTTGATAATGTTCGGTAAGTGCAATGTAGAGTTGAAGTCAGAATTTGCAGTCACGAGGCAGACCAGGAGAAATCAAATGCTCAATTGAAACTTTTAAAAACCTGAATCAATATTGTAGTTACTTTAGCACGCTGGAGCAAGGACGACACTATGGCTGAAATATTTTCTGTTAGACAGGTAATGTTCTGTTTTAAAACTCTTTTAGTCAGGCTAAGCTTATGTTAGATTGTATTCTGTTATGAATGACTTATATACTCAGAAGTGTTATTCAGCCACTGAAATCTCCCGGTGAAAGATTGATGTGATTATTTTCAGTTTCATAAGGTCCTTTTACAGCATTAATAATGTAGATTTATATTTAGTTTAACAACAAAACCCCAGTAAATAGCGCTATTCCGCCTAGCCTGCTTTATTGAGCTTAAGTTGACTTTATATTCACATTGGGTCATTTCTGAACTATGACAGCCTTCCTATACTGTTTGATATGCTACTCTGAATATTCGCTTTCAAATAGCATGTACGTGTGGCTAAGTAATAAATGTAATTCCTGCACGGCGCTGGCACTAACCAACTGGCGAATGACATCAACTACTGGGTTGTCTGTCTGCTGTTGTGACGCGGTTCGCGCATTCACGATTTCAGGAGGTATGGCTTTGAATCACAGTCCCTCCCCGCCGCCCAAAGATATATTGCTAAGCGGTTAGCATTTTGGCAGATCACCTACTGCACTTTTAAGCTGTAGTTCACGTTCATTCAGCAGCATTTCATTAATATTCTGTGACAAACTGTGGATGCTACTGGATGAGATTATGAAGTGCGGCTGCACAACATATGGTTTCAGCATCGATATTGGATTGTGTGTGTTTGCAATAGTCACAAAGCAGTATATGAAATATTGAGTTGGGATTATAGTTAATCAACAATTGAGAAAACATGAGATTTGTGGAGTCATTGCAAAGTAACAGAGTGAAACTTATAACATAATTTGTTTTATAACATAATTTGTATCAGTTTTAAAGGCTTTTTAGGAGAGTGTTAAGCATTCGGGCACAATAACTTAATAATAATAATTGTGGTCGTTAAAAATCACAGCATGTCCTTCGAAAAAGAGTAGGGGTTTTACCCCGGAGTCCTGGCTAATTTTGCCCACTGACCTCTGTCCATCATGGCCCCCTAACTCTCCCCATATCATTATTGCCTTTATCACTCTGTCTCCTCTCCACCAATCAGCTGGTGTGTGGTGTGCAGTCTGGCGCAAAATGGCTGCCGTCGCATCATCCAGGAGGATGCTGCACACTGGTGGTGGATGAGGAGATTCCCCCTATGTGTGTTTAGTACTTTGAGTGCCCAGAAAAGCTCTATATAAATGTAAGGAATTATTAAATTCAGAGTAGTTTTACTGAATTACTAACACAATAAAGACTATACAGTTTTACTTTACATTTCATTATTGAATTTCGGTACCTGAATACAGAGCGATTCTCTGGGAAAACCACAAAGAACAGTTCATTTTGCTTTCTTCTTTGCTCTATTGTCTTGCTTGCAATTTGTTATTGTCTTAATTGTATTAAAAGCAGAGTATTGGTGTCTATGTAAACATACTAATTGACAGTCCTAGTTTATTTATAATAGATGTGTCTGCTTTATGTCTTCCAGATGATGGGGAGGACGGACGGTGATAACTACACCTTGGATGACATGTTTGTGTCCAGTGCAGCTCAGAAGGAAAGAGCAGGTCGAGACGAGGAAAGGCAGAGAAACAAAGCTGTGCAGGAGACTAGGCGGTTAGCAGGACGCATGGAGAAATGCCCACACTGTTTCGACAGTGCTGAACTGCCCAAACACCTCATCATCGCCGTCGGAACCAAGGCATGACTTAGTACTCTTTTATTAGTTATATAATAAAATGTTTTATATTATGTAGTATTAAGTATGTCTAGGCAGTTGATATCACAGAATAAACTCTGACAGGTTTAAATTGGCAACACGACGCAAAGCAGAGCACTCTTGTATAAAACTGAAGGGTGTTATTCTGAAAAACAACCATGCTGGATGTACTTTATCCCACTCGTTACACAGCTACTTGCCACAAAACATAAAAAAATTACACGCAAAATGTTGATCTGAGCCATAATGGTTTATAAAATATTTAATTTAACACAAAGCTGACAGAAACAAAAACGGCTGATGGAGTATACACTAACCTGCACATTATTCAGACACAAGGTGGCGCCAAACTGTCAAAACGCTAAGCTGACAAAAACGAAAACAGCAAATGGAGTATACACTAACCTGCACGTTATTCAGACACAAGATGGTGCCAAACAGTCAAAACGCAAATCTGACAAAAATGAAAACAGCTGGAGTATACACTAACCTGCGCGTTATTCAAACAAAAGAGGGCACCAAACAATCAAAAACACAAAGCTGACAGAAACTAAAACAGCTGATGAAGGATACACTAACCTGCGCATTATTCAGACTCAAGAGGGCACCAAACAGTCCAAAACACAAAGCTAACAAAAACAGGTGATGGAGTATACACTAACCTGCGCATTATTCAGACACAAGAGGGCACCAAACAGTCTAAAAACTAAAATCTGACAGAACCTAAACTGGCTGAATAGAGCATATACTAACCAACGTATTACTCATGCAGTATTATTCAGTTACAAGATAGCGCCAAACAGTCAAAAACGGAATAGCTGACAGAAATGAAACAGGCTGAAGCCTTGGTCTCACTGCACTTTTTAGACTTCCATTCTTACGCATACTAATGCAACAGACATTTTTTGCACTACAGACTTTCATTCATATGCACACCAATGAAGGATAAAATACACATTTTGCCCTGTAGACTACCATTCATATGTATAGAAATGAAGGTCACACTGCACTTTCTGCCCTATAGACTTCTATTCATACTCAGACGAATGAAGTCACACTGCACTTTTTGCTCCATAGACTTCCATTCATACGTATACGAATGCAATAGACACTTTTTGCCCTATAGACTTCCATTAATACGAATGAATGTACACAGCAATTTTTGCCCTATAGACATCCATTCATACGCGTACGAATGAAGTCACACTGCACTTTTTGCCCTATAGACTTCCATTCATAGACGTGCGTGAAGTCACACAGTATTTTTTTTGCCTTATAGACATCCATTCATACACATGCGAATGAGGTCACACTGCATTTTTTGCCCCATAGACTTCCATTCACACACATACGAATGCAGTAGACACTTTTGCCCTATAGATTTCCATTCATAGACGTACATAAAGTCACATGGTATTTTTCGCTCTATAGACATCCATTCATATGCATACTAATGAGGTCACACTTCACTTTTTTCCCTATAGACATCCATTCATATGCATACGAATGAGGTCACACTGCACTTCTTGTACTATAGACTTCCATTCATAAACATACGAATGAAGGGCACACTGCATTTTTTGCCCCATAGACTTCTATTCATACACATACGAATGCAACAGACACTTTTTGCCCCATAGACTTCCATTCATACACATACGAATGCAATAGACACTTTTGCTCTATAGACTTCCATTCATACACATATAAATGAAGGTCACACTGCACTTTTTGCCCTATAGACATCTATTCATACGCATACAAATGAAGTCACACTGCACTTTTTGCCCCATAGACTTCTATTCATACGCATACCAATGCAATTGACACTTTTGCCCTATAGACTTCCATTCATATGCATACGAATGCAGTCACGCTGCACTTTTTGCCCTATAGACTGACATTTATACGCATACGAATGAAGTCATACTGCATTTTTTTGTCCCATAGACTTTCATTCAAACAAATAAGAATGCAACAGACCGATAACATAAGCTTGTGCAACACGTTTCGCATGTCACTGAGTTCGAACGTTCAAGCTTGGTAAACTCTCACATGCAAAATCGCATTATGTGATTGCTTAAGACCGATAGTAGATCAAAACATGAGCTCTTTGTATGGAAGTTTAAAATATGGAGCCATCGCTTACTATGTTAAGGTCTAATCTTATTTTATCCATTCCTGTTTTGTAGCGCTGTACAACAGAATTTCGCAAGCTCAAACTCTAGTCTGACAACAGCTTGACTCGCTTTTAATTCAAATAAGGTTGCGCTCTTTATAAAAGAGGGCGGGGCTACAAATGCCTATGTGTCAGCATAGTGGCCGATTCAAAAACAAGACTAATGTTATCTGTAAAACCTGAAATTGTCTCAACATGTGGTTTAGAAGAAGGTAATCTAAGAAGACTACGCTGTTCAATATTTATAAAACCTCTTAGTTGCTGACATTATCTTCAGCAGTGGTGTAAAAATAGTGTGAACTCTAATAGCAGACAGCTGCTTCTGACTGAGGGCTGTTGAACTAATGATGGAGAGATGGTCACTAGTGGGCGGGGCTTACCTCTTCTGATGACACGTACAAAGAGAGAATGTCAATCTAGGTGTTTCTGCAGATGGTTTTTATCAAGTGGGATTATAAAAAATACAGTTAATATATTTTTACCATTAGAATCTGCTTATATTAACACACTGTTGCCTTATAACGGAGTTTAAACCCCTTATAAAATTAATTTTTGCATAATAGGTGCCCTTTAAATTATGCCATGAAGTACAAGTTGGTCCAAATGCTGATTTAGGTCACACCGTCATTCAGGAAAAAAAAATAATAATAAATAAAAATTATATATATATATAAAGAAAAAAAAGACTAATCCCACTGCCAGCCTGTGCTTTTCAGATGTCATGTGTTCTGCTGTGCTAAGAGGATTTCTCCAGATGCTCGGTCTGTGCATGTGTGTTTGGGATGACGTGTCCTTGTTAATGCACAAATGTAAATGCTGTTGTGTGTTTGTGTGTCTGGCGCAGGTGTATTTGTGTCTGCCCAACAGCGTGTCTCTGACTGAAGGTCACTGTTTGATCGTGCCGGTGCAACATCACACAGCAGCCACAGGCCTGGACGAGGACATATGGGGCGAAATACAGGTACACACACTGTCAACACAAGTGCTCAAGCATCACTGTTGCTACTGCTTATGCATGCGTAGCAATCTGAAGTGTTTGTATGAAGTTATTTCAGTGGGAAAATTCATTTCGAAATGGAATATATAAAATATCAGATGCAAAATTTTACATATTGCATTGCCAAATTCACTTTTTATATGTTTTTAAATATGCTAACTTATTACTGGTTTATAATTTGTGGCATCAAATCATGTTTTTGAGCAGAATTGGATGTAATTTGTTCCACAGTAATGCATTACTGTATTCTAATTAGGTTTTTGGGTACTGCAGTATTGTAGCGGATTACATTTTAACGTGTGTAATTTGATTACAGTTACTAAATTCAATGTAGTTGCGCTACTTGCGTTACAAATATAGTTTTTAGAAGAAAAAAATCGCGTTTTCCGCCACAACCTTAGTTAATGAGCTGTCGTAGTGGTTGCTGTCGAGACTGGCTGCTTCCTTAAGTGGAAGTACAGACATTACTTTGATTTCATTGTGCCATATCATACACCTAGCGCAAGATATGTTTGCCGCGATGTGTTACTTGTATTTTCAGACCAGTGCAACCCTAATTTTCCCATTTTGTGTTACGTTGTTTAAATAGCCAATCCATTTGCATCCCTTTGTGGACTCATGGGTAGACCCACACGGAATCTGCGCGCGCAGATTTTCCGCAGAATTTCGCAGATTTCTGCAGATTTTTAGGCTATTATTAATTCAGTTTATTTACTTGAGTAGATGTGTAAATCTAAATTTATTCAGTTTTTATTCAGTAATTTATTACTTTTTATTCAATATATTAAGGTTTTAGTTATAATACTCCGCTGGAGATTCCCAAAATAATTCCACAGAAATTCGCAAATTTTTACTAAAATTCCCTGCAGAAATAGCAAAAAACGTCCGCAGATTCCGTCTGGCCCTGCTCATGGGTGTGCTAGTCTAGAAAAGAGGTGCGTTAAGGCGAATGTTTGTCACGTTGCTATTTTGAGGAACTAAGGGTGCTTTCACATCTGTAGTTCGCTTCATTTGGTCCGGACCAAGGGCAATAAATGATACATTGTTGCATTTTCTGCCGTCTTTGGGTCGTTTTCACACCACACTGCTGGCTTTTGTCCAAACCAGTTGAAACGAACCAAAATGCAGTCATCTGACAAAATCCACATCTCTCATTGGCCAGATGTTATTGAACATATTTCCTGAACTGCTTATTGATTGGTCAGAATTCAGGTGCGGGAAAATGCCAATGAACTCCTGCAAGAAAACAAAACCGGCAAAACAAACTATACATTTTGAGAATGAAGCGCAGCTGCGGCTGGAAAACAGTGTTTTAATGCATCGCTCGTCACTTCAGCAGGAGGCGTGAATAAATTTAGCTAAACTGCGACATGGTCATCTTGCGGAAATATTACCAATGATCCATCAGGTAATGTTTTCCCCTCTCTCTCTCTCTGTTGGTAAAGCGCTGTCAACAAATATTTTTCCTCTATATCCTATAATGCACAGCGTTTGGATTAGTCCAAAAGGTGCAGTACTTTTTGCGGTTGGACCTGTTTTAGTACGGATCATATTCTCAACACAAACGAATCGCTCCAGGGTTCGTTTGAAAGCGTACCGAGACCACCTCTTCAAGCAGGTCTCGGTACGCTTATTTGGTCCGCTTTTGTTGCGCACTCGAGTTCGATTGCTGCATTCACACCTGTCCAAACAAACCGCACCAAGAGGGAAAACGAACTCTAGTGCGATTCAATACAACTAAATAAGGCAGATGTGAAAGCACCCTAAAATAGACTGTGCAATAGACCAACTGAAAGCAGGTCTAAAGTCCAGCGCAGAGCGTGTCAGTTGTGCACCTTAAACGCGTACACATTGCTTAATACACACAGGATGTACAGCAATACACAAATATCTTTAAAATATTATTATTTTATATAATTATAAAAAACACCGCCTCCATGCCTTCTTCATCTCGGGGGGGCTTTTTCAGTTTATTCATGACAACTTGTTTTAGTACAATGTTAGTATTATTAGTATTATTTATTAAATGCATATTTATAATTGTTTTTATTAAAACAAGCTTATATTTGTTCACCTTTCAGGTTTTGGACCAAATGGGGCACAGCATGTGTGTTTGGATATAACTTTTTTGTCCACACTTCGTTATTATTGTATATTTATTAGTTTGCTGGAAATTAGAACTGAATTTGGAAATACTTTTGAAACAAATCTTTGTCTTTAACCAATTAAATTAAATATGTAGGCTAATGTATATCTTCAGTGGAGTGCGTCCAACACCAGTTCCTTATCCACGAAAGAGAGAAAGTGAAAGTAAAGGTGCTGAATGGAGGAGGCTCATTCTTTATCCTCGCTGCAGATGCTCTGTTTGACTGTTTTCTCACTAGTGAAGCGTTCAGTTTTGCCACTTATAGGGTCCTATCATACACCCGGCTCAAGGCGTGACGCAAATGTTGTTTGCTAGTTTCAGCTTGACGCAAATGTCGTTTTGATATGTTGCACCATGCTGTTTAAATAGCAAATGCATTTGCAGTCATATGTGCGCCCATAAGCGTTACGGTCTAACAAAGAAGGAAAATATTACAAAAATTATTATTTTCGACATAAATATAAAAAGCACCGCCTCCATGCCTTCTTCAACTCAGGGGGCTTTTTCAGTTTATTCATGCCAACTTGCTTTTGTATAATGTTATTATTATTATTAGCAGTATTATTTATTATATGCCTATTTATATTTGTTTTATTTAAAAAACGCTTAGATTTGTCCACCTGTCAGGTTTTAGACCATATGGGGCACAGCATGTGTGTTTGGATATAACTATAAGTTTTTTGATCACACTTCGTTATTACTGTTCATTTATTCGTTTGCCGGAAAGTAGAACTGAATTTAGAAACAGGTTCGACACAAATCTTTGTGCTTAACAAAGTTAATTATTTAGGCTAATGAATGTCTGTGCGTACAACGCGTTTCCTTGTCCATGGAAGAGAGTGAAAGTGAAAGTAAAGAATGAGGAGGCGCTGCAGATACTCTGTTTAACTGTTTTGTTGCTAGTGAAGCGCTCAGCTTTTCCACGTACAAAGTCCGTCATGTAAATAGCAAATGCGCTATGGCAAGACGCAACTGACTCTTGAAGGGAATGGGAGATGAGACTCGAGTTTATTCTCAAAAACACACCTATAACTCCTTAAGAGAATAAGCTCAACCCTGTTGGATTATGCAGCCCAGTGCAAACTGTGTTTTTCCGTTCTTAAAATAATAAAAGTGGATTCGGACATGCCCTTAATGCTTTTGCACCCTGCGCTTTGCACTTAGCACCAAGATCGTTAAAATAGAGCCCATAAAGTCTGCCATGTAAATAGCAAATGCACCAATGTGAGATAAAACTCTGATTGGTTTATTGTCAAAACACACCCAACACTCATTAAGAGAATAAGCACAACCCTGTTAGACCATGCGCCGCGGCGCAAAGCGTATTTTTCCGTCCTTAAAATAGCAAAAGTGGATTCGTACATGCCCTTAATGCTTTTGCGCCCTGCGCTTTAGACTTTTCGCCTAGATCGTTAAAATAGAGCCCTTTGAGTGTAAAAACAAAACTATTGCTGTGAAATGCAGTCTATGTGTGCTCTCATATTAAAACCAAGCTCTCCAAGTGTTTGGAAATGGCTAATGTAAATTAATTCATTATAGATATCCTAAAAAGGATTAATACTGATACTAACATCTAAAATAAAACTTCATTTTTGATTTCTTGGGACCTTTAAGTTTGCAATCTCTGTGACATATGTGCAAAGATCTAGGTGCGAAATTGGACTGGTATCCACTGTGCAAAATATATGCTGGATAAGTTGCCGGTTCATTCCGCTGTGGCGACCCCTGATGAATAAAGAAACTGTGCTGAAGTAAAATGAATAAATAAATAAATGCTTAAAGCAGGCTTTCCTCTCTCTTACAGATGTTCCGTCGTGCCTTAGTGCGCATGTTCGAGTCTCAGGAGCTGGACTGTGTGTTTTTGGAGACTCATATGAATCCTAAAAGGCATCTGCACATGGTGTACGAGTGTGTGCCAATGCCCAGAGAGCTCGGTGATATGGCGCCCATTTACTTTAAGGTAGCTTTGTGCAAACAATCTCAAACTGACTCAGTACAGCACAACATTTAGATACTAGGAGTAAAAATGTGTTCATTTTTTAATGGCTTTATAAATGCTTTGATTCAATGTTATATTGCTCTGACAGTGGTCTCAAACTCCTGGAGAACCACAGCTTTTACTCACAGGTTTTAGCTCCAACCTCATCCAAATCACACCTGCTTAATAGTCTCTAGTAGTCTTGAACACCTTGAGTAGTTGGGTTAGCTGTGTTTGATTAGGGTTGGAGCAAAACTGTGCAGAGCTCCCGGAATTGAGTTTGAAACCCATGCTCTATGACATCTATATACTAAATATGTGACTTAGATATGCTCAAAAGGTTTATACTATATGTATAACTTATCTATATTATTTACATGCTCATTTATAACCACAGGGTTTAGCCCTTGAGAAAAATTCTCAGTTTTGACCATATTTGGAATGGTCATGAATATTAATGAGCTCTCCACTGATGCTCCAGCAGCTCATGTCTGTGCATGATGTAACACTTGTCATGCTTTTAAAATCCTTTATTGCACAGCAAACCATTCATTATCCTTTACATATATATTATTATAATATAAAAATACTTTTTTATTTTTTATTTTTTATTTATTTATTTTAATTATTTAAATGTTATGTTTCTCCATCATTCTGGCAACAGCCAAGACAAATTTTTTACTTCTTTAAGATCCACAGGGAAGATGAATATGAAAAATACTTATGTTGTTATGAAAATCAATACTCAGAACACATCGAAAGGTTTACATTTTTATTGAAAACCGTGTCTAGTTTGATGAAAATGATTACTTTGCTCATGGAAAATGAATAGGATTGTTACTACTTGCGTTTTGTTTAACTGTTTTATAACTTATTTAACAAATTGCTCTTATTAATCCTCTGTGTGTTTGTGTTCAGAAAGCCATTATGGAATCGGACGAGGAATGGGCCATGAATAAAAAAGTTGTGGATCTCTCGAAGAGAGACATCAGACAGGCTGTAAGTTCTTACTATTATTTAATTTTGTTTGTATTCACTTTAACATCACGGTGGCACAGTGAGTAGAATGATCACCTCACAGCAAGAAAGTCGCTGATTCAAATGGGTCAGTTGGCATTTCTGTGTGGAGTTTGCATGTTCTCCCCGTGTTCACGTGGGTTTCCTCCTGGTGCTCCGGTTTCCCCCACAGTCCAAACGCGTGCTATTGGTGTATTGAATAAGCTAAATTGGCCTTAGTGTATGTGTGTGAATGCAAGAGTGTATGGGTGTTTCCCAGTGATGGGTTGTGGCTGGAAGGGCATCCGCTGCAAGAAAAGTTGGCGACACCTGATTAATAAAGGGACTAAGCCGAAAAGAAAATCAATGAACGTATTCCTCTTTTAGTCTCAGTGTGTTGACGTTTCTCATATCTTTGCAGGTTCCTCGAGGGTTGCCGTACTTCTCTGTGGATTTTGGGCTGCAGGGCGGCTTTGCTCACGTCATTGAGAATGAGCAGAAGTTTCCACACTATTTCGGCAAAGTAAGTCTGAGAATCTTACGAGAGTAAGTCCCGTTCTTTGGTTGTGAATATCTTAATTAGCTGGATTTGGTTATATACGATTTGACACCGCCCAGGATCATTTCGTTCTTCAAAACTCATCCGAGGGTTGTTTTCATAGCAACAGGTCTGGTAGCTCAAACCTGCGCAGGAGCAGCCTTATTTCATATAAACAGGATTAGATCGGGTCATTTCAAGCAAAGGTAAAACTGAAAGTATTAAGCGAATGCTGATATTTTATTACAGTTGTAGTTGTAAAATAGTATTATTAACTAATATATATACAGGCTATCCAGTGTTTCCTCCAAGTTTCATGCAATTTTGGGTGTTTCATTTTTAACTTTTGACTTCTGTTTTAATGGAATTTGATACCGCATGGCGAACGGAAAGGAAAAACCTCCGCATTTCATGACTCGGTGGTCCTTTAAGTTAATCAAAAATCACTGCATACATGGTAGACTCTTAATAAGAGTATTATCTTAATCAGATTAAAATTTGAGTATTGGTGTTCATGTAAATGATGTCAAAGTCAGCGCATTCCTCTGCCTTTCAGCATGCGCCCTCCAATGTTTTATTAAGTTTGACGTATTTCCCCCTTAAATGCAAGTTTTGTAAAGCAGCTGCCTAGCATTGTTGTGTCAGAACCCTTGTGAAATACAGCCATACTTTAGAACGCTTAGTTTAAGCAAATTTGATGAATGCAGTCATGCGTGTTGAATCTGAAGGTAGTCACTCCGGCTGCCCTGTCCCGCGCACGTTGTGTGTGTGTATGTGTGTGTGTCTGTTTGTGTCTGTGTGTGTGCGTGCGCGACAAACCTACCAGCAACAAACCCAAACGTTGTTGCCTGTAGCCACTAAATCAAAAAGTTACGAATTGCCGTGAGATTGTTGCACTCTCAGCTCACATCATTCAAAAGAAAAGGTCCACATTGTCCCCCGATAATGTCAACAGACTGGACTGTTTTAACAACTGGCTGAATGTAAAAGACTGAGCAAAATTGTTTCTACTTTATAATTAACGTTTTCAATTTTACAATGAGTACAATTGTTTGTATTCAATACTTTATGTTATTATAATTTTCCATTTTCCATATCTGCAATGCCTGTATTTTGGCATTTTTTTGCAGTCCACTTAGAATCCAACATGGAAATCAATGTTTTCTTTATTGGCATTGATTGTTTTGAAATTCAAATGGCATTAACATGCCTGTGTTTTAATTTTTGTAATGAATACGGCTGTCAAGCCAGGATCTCGATGGTTTATTGTTTACATGAAGAAATCTGTGTTACAAGTTAAACAAAAATTCTAATAAACAATCATATTTTGAATTTAAATAGTTTTTGTCTTGCGTTTACATTAATTTTACATTTAAATAGCCAAAATTACAACTTTCAGTGAATTTACGTAAGTACATTTAAATTAATAATATCAACAACTAAATCACATTGGGGTGGCCACAGGTCAGGTAGTAAATGCACTGCGAGTTTACAAGAACTAACAATGATTGACTTTAGTTTCATTAACAAAGATGAACAAATATTTTAATAAATGTATTGTTCATTTATTGTTCAAACATTAACTAATGGAACCTTTCTGGATGCTACTCCACAATATAAATTCATTTTAAGTTGAAGTAGCTTAGGAAAACTGTCTTTGCATATCTTTATTAATGTTATGAATGTAAACGCATTAACTATACGAGTTCCAATAAAAAGAATGCATGGTCCGATTCTGCAATCATATTTAATTAAAATTGACAAAAATAATAATGCATGTCAACATAGGAACTATTTTGACAGGATCTAAAGCTTTTTGCTGCTTTTTAACAGCATTTACAGGAACATCATAATGATTTCTTTAAAATATATGGTGTTATATTTCTGGATATATAGTCTTATATTTATATCTTCAAATATTATGGTCTTAAAATGCAGTCTTCTGAATGTGAAAAAAAAAGTATGATGCATGTGAATATAGTCACTGAATTTTATTCTGTGTCCTTCAGGAAATCCTTGGCGGGATGCTTGATCTGGAACCGAGACGCTGGCGCAAACCAATACGAGAGAATTTCGATGATCAGCGTAAAAAGGTTCTGAAGTTCGCACAGTGGTGGAAACCATTTGACTGCACTAAAAGTGATAGCTAGCCAATCAGAGACTGCTTTGCTTCATTCTGTATTCTGATTGGCTGAGCCGTCACATCAGTATGACTTTTAATGCCTGATTTTTTATTACTTGTGTAATACTTGTGTCTGTTTCAGAAAATATCCAGAAAGTTGTCCAGAAAGTTTAAAACCAGACTATAAAAAAGACGCATTTTATTGATGTGTTTCTGATGCTGTAGAGTTTAGCATTGTTTCACCAGCTCTTGTCCAGTAAATTGCATTAAACTCCAAATAAAATATGACATGACTTCCAGCTGCTCGGCTAAATATGTGCTCTGGCTTCCTGATCAGATCTTCTAGATGACGTCTTGTTGGCTTGTTCTGCACCTGACCTTGAGTCGACTCCGCTGGGCACAGATATCCTCCGTGAGGTGACCGTTTACACCCTGCCATTGATTTAGACGTAGAAAGAAATCATTAGGATGTTTTATGGCTGGGTTTTAGGTAATGTTGCTGTCCAGGAACATGCACGTTAAAGTGCTAATTCAGTTAGGTCTTCAACTAAGTATTGTTCAGTATGCCTGAGTGAAAAAATTTAAGAAATAAGTTTTGACTTTTTGTCACAATTTAAGTCTCAGATATGAATAAATCTCATAATTTCTCAATTTTCTTGGAATTCTTTGTTCAAATTTTGCCATTTGGTCTATTTTTCCCCCTCGGAATTCTGAGTTTACATCTTGGAATTCTGTATTCTTTATGGGATACTTAGTTCATAGGGAATTCTTAGTTCATATGAAATTTTGAGTCGATGTCTTGGAATTC